AAGGACAACCATGCGAGCAAGCAGGGTTCCGCAAAGGATTCAGCACCATCGACCATATCCACACGATAACCAAGCTCATTGAGGTTTCTCGGGAGTCCAAGATGCCGCTCTGCTTAACGTTCATTGATTTAAAGAAGGCCTTTGATTCTGTTGAGACGGAAGCGGTCATTGAAGCCCTAGCCAATCAGGGCATTCAAGCCCAATACATCAGGATCCTCCGTGAGCTCTATTGCGGATTCACTACCAGGATCTCACCATTCTACAAAGAAGTGATCGTTGATGTCAAGAGAGGGGTGCGGCAGGGTGATACCATTTCACCGAAACTCTTCAGTGCCACCCTCGAGAACATCATGCGACGACTGGAATGGGAAGGAATGGGAGTGAAGATAGATGGTCGGCAACTACACCACCTCCGCTTTGCTGATGACATTGTTTTAATAACACCAAACATCAGCCAAGCGGCACAAATGCTGGCTGACTTTGACCGTGAGTGTGGAAAGGTAGGACTACAGCTGAATCTTACGAAGACAATGTTTATGAGAAACAGCCTTGTTCCTGACGCCCCATTCGCTCTCAATGGAACGACCATCTCCGAATGCAACAGCTATGTCTACCTAGGTCGAGAGGTCAACATGACAAATGACCTGGCACCCGAGCTGCGCAGGAGGAAGAGAGCGGCTTGGAACGCCTTCAAGAACGTCGAAGAAATAGCTAAGAGGACGAAAAACCTCCGGCTCCGGGCACATCTCTTTGATTCCACTGTTCTTCCTGCATTAACATATGCCTCAGAGACCTGGGCCCTACGCAAACAAGATGAGAACGCTATTCAGGTCTCCCAAAGAAGAATAGAAAGAGCTATGCTTGGAATATCACGTTTCACTCAAATGAGAGAACGAATCCGGAGTTCTGACATCCGTCGACGATCAAGAATCAGGGACGCTGTCTCATTTGCCAAGGTGTCGAAAATCAGATGGGCTGGTCACGTAATGAGATTTAAAGACGACCGTTGGACTAGAGCTGTTACTGATTGGATTCCACGGGATGTCAAAAGACCGCGTGGCCGCCCACCTACCAGATGGTCAGACTTCTTCGTCAAGATCATGAACGATCGGTTTGAGGCCCTTCATGTTCCCGGAGCGAACAGATGCCATTGGGCTACACTAGCACGCGACAGGGACAAATGGAGACGTTACTGGCGCCCGCTCGAGCAAATCGACGACTAACGGGAAGTTAAGTGATAAGTGATATATATATATATATTAAGCTAAAAATGCTTCCCTTGCCACTGGAGAGACAGTACGGCAGGCAGTGTGCTGGTCTTGCATGCAGCCAATCTGGGTTCAATCCCAGCATCACACCTGAGCACAGCCAGGAGAGATCCCTGAGTGCAGAGCTAGGATCAAGCTCCAATCATTGCCAGGTGTGTTCTGCAAAACCAAAATAAACAAAAACAATGTCTTCCAAATAGGTCCTCTTCATGCCTGCTCTCCACTTCCCATATAGTCCATCTGCACCAGAAATTTTGGAAGTCATCACAGTCCCCTGGCAGAGTCTCCTGCCTCCGTGCCTTGCTGTCCTCACCAGGACCCCTTGGATGAGGGTGGGTTGAGTTTCCCTCCCCACCCCGAGCAGAGCCCCGGCAGCAGAAGACCTCCGGTTCCAGGCACAGCCATGCTTAAGACCACTCTCCACACGTTCGAACGAGCCTCACGCATGAAGGAACCGGCAGAGGAACCGAGATGTGCGGGACCCGGGGCATAGATCTCCAAGCCTGCTCGAATTGGGACTGGGCCTCCTCCACCCGGATCCCCCATCTTCCAGTATGTAGGCATTATACATCTTATTATCTAGTTCTTACTCTGGAGAACCTGGCAGGTTACCAAAAGTATCCTGTCTACACAGCAGAGTCTGGCAATCTCCCTGTGGTGTACTCACTTAATCACTTAATCACTTAACTTCCCGTTAGTCGGCGATTTGCTCGAGCGAGTGCCAGTAACGTCTCCATTTGTCCCTGTCGCGTGCTAGTGTAGCCCAATGGCATCTGTACGCTCCGGGAACATGAAGGGCCTCAAACCGATCGTTTATGATCTTGACAAAGAAGTCTGACCATCTGGTAGGTGGGCGGCCACGCGGTCTTTTGACATCCCGTGGAATCCAGTCGGTAACAGCTCTAGTCCAGTGGTCATCTTTAAATCTCATTACGTGACCAGCCCATCTGATTTTCGACACCTTGGCAAATGAGACAGCGTCCCTGATTCTTGATCATCGACGGATGTCAGAACTCCGGATTCTTTCTCTCATTTGAGTGAAACGTGATATTCCAAGCATAGCTCTTTCTATTCTTCTTTGGGAGACCTGAATAGCGTTCTCATCTTGTTTGTGTAGGGCCCAGGTCTGTGAGGCATATGTTAATGCAGGAAGAACAGTGGAATCAAAGAGATGTGCCCGGAGCCAGAGGTTCTTCGTCCTCTTAGCTATTTCTTCGACGTTCTTGAAGGCGTTCCAAGCCGCTCTCTTCCTCCTGCGCAGCTCGGGTGCCAGGTCATTTGTCATGTTGACTTCTCGACCTAGGTACACATAGCTGTTGCATTCGGAGATGGTCATTCCGTTGAGAACGAATGGGGCGCCAGGAACGAGGCTGTTTCTCATAAACATTGTCTTCGTAAGATTCAGCTGTAGTCCTACCTTTCCACACTCATGGTCAAAGTGAGTGGCATACTCAATATGCCAAAAAACAGTAACAGTGATAGGTCTCATTCTCCTGACCCCGAAAGAGCCTCAAATGTGGCACTCTCTAAAATCTCAGGGCTAGGATGAAGGAGACGTTACTTCTGCCTGCTCGAAGAAATCCATGATCAACAGGATGACAGTGATACAGTCATACAGTGATCACAGTCCCTGAAGCAAAGAGATACTTAATATTCTTCCACATTTATTATACCAGAAGCAACAAAGTTCTGGAGGAGAAGTGATGAAAGCTATCACAGGTGTCCTTGTTTGTCATTTGGATTCATCAGTTATGCAACAACGAAGTTATTAGTTGTTGCAAGGTTATGCACATTCTCCTGATGACAAACCTTGGGTTCTAGAGTGCCAGAACCTCAGAGCAGTCAGAGCGGAGGGAGCCTAGGCAGGGAGTCAGTCACGTGCTTTCCTCCATCCACAGGCCCAAGCTTCCTTGGACCCTCTGGAAACCGCCGTCTTTGTACTACCACCATTGCCCACTAGAGGACCTCAGATCTCAATGTTGCTGAAGTTTGGGATGAGAGTCTCAATGGATAAACCTGGGAGGAACAAGTATTCGGTCCATCTGTAGCCTCGCTGATACCTCTTTTTGTCTTTTATTATTATTATTATTATTATTATTAATTAGTGAAACACCATGAGGTACAGTTTTTTGTACCTTACAAATTTACAAATTTGTTGACTTACAAATTTGTGTGCTTGGGTTTCAGTTATACAATGCTCAAACTCTTTCTGTCTTTAATCGGATTTGGACTCTTGACTGTGTGCTCACAAGACAGGTGCTTGAAGCCTTTGTGCTTTTCGTCCAGGCCCTTGAACAGCTTTTATGTTCTAGGAAGTTTGCTTTGAAGGGAGCTGGCCAGAAGCAGCCAGTGTTTTTGAGAACATGTGGACGCACCAGGGTCAGAGAGCCCAATGGCCACTGAGGCTTGGGGCGCCCAGAGGTGTCTCCCGGATGTCAAGAGCTTCCGCTTCCAGAATGTCATGATCCAATGGTACTTCAATAAAAACACTTTCTTCTTTGGTTTTCTTCCTTTGGGAGGGGGACTCCCATGTGCTGTTTGAACAATTTAGCGGGGGTGGGTTGAGGTGGGGGGCGTTGTTACTTCCTCAGTCAACATGGACCAGCAGTTCAATGCAAGAGCCCAGCGATGCAATGCCAATGGGGCCACCAGGACCAACCCCAGTGGCGCTCAGGGGCGCCTCCACTGTTCCTTGTGGTGCTGTGAATCAAAGGAGGGTCAGCTGTGTGCCAGGCATGCACCAGCACCCCTGCGCCACCTCTCCAGACCCCATTTCTCTTTTTTTATTTATTAGTGAAACAAAATAAACAAAGACAATGTCTTCCAAATAGGTCCTCAGAGCAGTACCATGAGGTACAGTTATAGACTTACAAATTTTTGTGCTTGGGTTTTAGTTATACAGTGATCAAGTAACCATCCCTCCACTGGTGTCCATCCTCCACCACCAAAGATCCCAGTATCCCTCCCACCCCCCATCTCCCCCATCCAACCCTGCCTCTGTGGCAAGGCATTCCCCCTTGTTCTCTCTCTCTTCTTTTGGGTCCTGTGTTTTGCAAGAGAGGCATTGAGTGGCAATCATGTTTGGTCTATGGTCTACTTTCAGCATGCTTCTCCCACCCTGGGAGGATCCTCCCAACACCCTTTATTTGGTGCTCCCTTCTCTATCTGAGTTCCCTTTTCCCCTAGCACGTGTGGCTGGCCTCTGAGTCATGGAGCAAAATTCCTGGTACTTATCTCGGCCACTCCTGGGTGTTAGTCTCCCATTTTGTTGCTTTATGTTCCCCAGATGAATGCAATCTTTCTGTGTTTTCATGCATTCAAGATCTGGGTAGAAAGCAGAGCCCCGGGGGCTGGGAGAGAGAAGTTGGTGCCGTCACACATTCTGCACCCCTCCTGGAGAAACTATATCCATGGCCTACACTGGACCACCCTCCAGCCCCGCCCTCCCCTCGCAGACACTCAAGGCAGAAATGAAAGCACCTCCTTTCACACATGAGCCACTTGTGGTTTCCCCACCCCACCAGCTGCCCACTTGGGAGAGCCCCAGCTCCGGCCGGCTGCCAGTCATTTGGGTTTCCGTACCACCCGCGAGTGAGGGGTAGGAGATCTTCTCCTCCCGGGTGGCTTTGCCTCTGCAGTAGCCTCACCCTCACGCCGCTGCCTTCAGGACTCACACTCCATCCCTGGGCAAGGCTGGGGTGCAGCTGCGGTGCTTCCCCGGCCTCGGCAGTCATGTGGCGGCATCTCTCTGTCGTGTTGCTGCTCTTCCTGGCCCTGGCAGGTGAGTGAGACACTCGGTTTCCTGTTTCCACCCTCCTTACTGGGGCCTTTTCTATTTAAATGGGTTGTAATGCCACCAAAGGCTAAGACTGCACCTTTGAAGTTTCCCTCACAGTTCTCGGCTCTGTGCAGGAGCACGGAACCATCTGGTCACCTGACACACAGGTGCGGGCACGTTTCATTGCTTTCCCAGGCTTTTGCAGCTCCCACTTGTTTTCTGTGTGTTTTACAGAGCACGCACCCACCCCAGAAGAGTGTAACGCTCTAGCCTCGGCTCCCAAATGGGTATTTGGTACCTTCACAGGGAGAACTGTAGAAATAAGTTTTATTTTTATTTTTTGCTTTTTGGGGGTCTCACCTGGTGATTCACAGGGGTTACTCCTGGCTCTGCACTCAGGAATTACTCCTGGTAGTGCACAGAGGACCATATGGGATGCCGGAGATTGAACTCGGGTCAGCTGCATGCAAGGCAAATGCCCTACCCACTGTGCTATCGCTCCAGCCCAAGTTTGATTTTCAGAACCAGAGAATTCGGCCAGCTCTTAGAAATGGGGGCTCTAACTAAATCCTCAGAAGAAAGCACAGCAGGTCTTATTCCCCTTTCATTCAGAAGGAAGGGCTCTCCGTATAATCTATAAAGAGCAAACAGTCAGCTAGGTGCCAGCTGATTGTGCAATTGCAAAAAGGTATAAGTCTTTTTTTTTTCAAGCTGAAAATCTGAGTGTGGGAAACAGCTAATTGTGATGATGTGATGTCCCCAGCTCTTCTTTTCTCCCTGAGTCCCTGAATCCTCTTCTGTGCTGTGATCGGGTTTACTGCTCTGGTCACAGTTCCATGTAGAAGCACCCAGTGGAGCTCAGGAGGAAAATTCTCTGCTCACATGGCATTCCCTGCTATGTGCTCAGCTGGGGGCTCGGGGGCGTTTGATTGCCAAGTGATTTGTTATGAGAATTGGGCCGAGGGTCACCTGCCTTCCTGCAAGTTGTCTCCTTGGGCCACACTTTCAGAACTCAGGTTCACATTCTTTGGAAGACCAGGGAGACATCTTGGTTCTGTTCAGCATGCAAGCTAGAGACAGAGCCAAAGATGTCAGTCCACACCAGGACCCAGCACCTGCCCACTCTTGAGGACTTGTCCAGTAACCAGCAATGGCTGGAGCCCAGGAATGCCAAAGGCAATGGCGGTTCAATGACCACCAAGGCAAGCAGGGAGGGGATGCCTCCATGACCCTGTCTGTGAGCAGCAATTTCTCAGAGATATCCTAAGTACATGCAGCATGAAATGGTGCCTCAGTTTCCTGATGAGGTTGTGAGGCAGATTCAAGTTTGGCTTCTGTGTTCCTCAGCTGCGCTGTGCTCTGCTTGGGAGTCTGGCTTCTGGGTCCACGGTCTGTGCTACTGCATAATATCATCCAAGTATTTGTTCCATTAGAGATAAGCAAACACCGTTAGGCTTCTTGCTAGGAGAACTATAGACTCTTGCCTTGCATGCAGCCAACCTGGGATCAGTCCCCAGCAATCCATATGGTCCCTCAGGCATTTCCAAGAGTAACCCCTCAGCACTGGGTGTGGCCCCCCCATAAAACAAAACCAAAAGCAAGAAAAACAATCACCTTCAAACTTCACTTGTCAGTTGAAGTTGTCTAAGGCCCTGTATTTTTTTGTTTTTGTTTTTGTTTTCTGTTTTAGTCACACCCAGTGATGCTCAGGGGTCACTCCTGACTCTGCACTCAGGTATTACTCCTGGAGGTGCTCGAGGGACCATATGGGATGCCGGGGATTGAACCCGGGTCGGACACGTGCAAGGCAAATGCCCTACCTGCTGTACTATCCCTTCAGCCCCTAAGACACTGTTCTCTTATCTGAAAATTGAATCGAGATGCTCTCGTCTGCAGGTTTTTAGAAGAGTTGGAAATAGAGAGTGCTTAGTGTGAGAACTGTCTCCTAGGAAGTGTCATTTTCTGAAATTTGACTATTGTTTTGAGAAAAGAACCCACTTAGAAATGTGCTAAATAAGAAAAGGAGTCAATAAAGGGATGGCTGAGTGATTTTGATTAGATACGAATCTCGAGGCTGTCGATCCCAGCATGGCGCCATCTCCTTTGCTGTGTTTTCCACGTTCCCAGGTCCCACAAGTGTCTGCAGGTAAATACAATGAAGCCAGCATCACAGGGATCCCTGTCACCCAGCATGCCCATGAACATCATCTGGGCTTTATCCTCTTCCCTGGTTTGTGATGTGTCTGAAAGGCGGAAGGAAGGGAGGATAAAACTACTGAGACAATGGATCAGAGAATTGAGCCCCTAACAGGTGACCTGGGAGAGAACCCATGACAGTGACACATATTGAATCCTGTCCAGTGGGCCATGAGCACTTCTCTTCAACCCATTTGACCAAACTAGCATCCTCGCCCATTCAGTCAACCTACTTCCATTGGACACATTCCACACACAAGTACTTGGGATGAAGCACACACATGGGGTCCCTATTCTGAAGGTTTTTTTTCTTTTTGGGTCACACCCAGCAATGCTCAGGGGTTGCTCCTGGCTCTGAACTCAGAAATCACTCCTGGCAGTGCTTGGGGAATGATATGGGATACCAGGGGATTGAACCCAGGTCGGTCCTGTACAAGGCAAACGCCCTACCCGCTCTGCTATCGCTCCAGTCCCATGGGGTTCCCATTCTGAAGTTTCTTTTGATCCTGAGGGAAGGACACAAAGTCAACCCTCAAAAACTAAAGTAAGGTCAGGGTTTCTACTCTTGTTGATATGCACTGTCCTGTCTGGCTTCTTCTGGAATACAACCCCCTATGAAACTGCAAGTTGAAATTATTTCAGGGAAGGTGAGAGAGGGGGAGTGGGAGAGGTGGGTGCAGTTGATGTCAGGAGAACAGGGAAGACTTAGTTGCTGATGCTTAAGCCAGAACCTGAGTTCTGAAGGGCACCTGAAGTAGCCCACAGCGGCAGCTTAATCATTTTCTTCCTTACTTTAGAAAGTCTGGGCCATGCAAAAAGTTAAGAAAGGAAATAGCAGAAACTTATTTTTTTTTCTGTCTTTTTGGTATTTTAGTTTTGAGGGCCATACCTGGCAGTATTCAGGGCTCCTCAGCACCCAATATGGTCCTCCCAAACCCTGCCCGAAGTGATCCCTAAGCTCAGAGCCAGGAGTAAGCCCTGAGCACTGCCAGGTAAGGCCCAAAATCAAGCAAAAAAAAAAAAGAGAGAGAGAGAGAGAGAGAGAGAAGAAACATTACAATGGGAGCAGGGGATGAATCTTGTGAGGTGTAGCAATAGCTTGTTGATGCCTTTCCCCCCCCCCCCTTCCAATTTGCAGGAATTGTGCATTATGGAAATAAAATAAGAGCGAATTGGTTACCAGATCCTCACCCACCCATACTCATGGCCTCAGGACAGGCCGGGGCAAAATCATCTGTCCGGCAAGCAGCTCGGCAAGCCCTGCACAGAACCCCAGCAGCAAAACCAACAGCTGCTCCCGTCACCTCTAACGTGGTGGCCGCAGCCTCTCCCTCTGAGAATCCAGCTGGACAAACCACAGCAGCGGCAGAAGCAACACTGCCAGCCACGACCCCCCGCACGCCGCCCCCCAGCACAGAAACCCACGCCCCAACCTCCACCTTGGGGCCTCACACTCCCCCCGCAGCCAGCACCACCCACGCAGCTGCTTCTGTCATGGCAGCCACTCTAGGCCCTGCCACCTCGAGTGGGGCCAGGTTGCCCACCACCACCCCGTCAGCCCACACGCCTGTCTCCCGTCCTTCAACTCTTGGCCCCACCACCGGGACACGCACCCAATCCAGCCACAGCACTGCCCTGCCAGTAACGTCATTCACATCGCCACACACCGGCACAGCCAGTGAGGTGCCTGCTCAGCCCACCCGCACTGCCGAACCCACCCACCCCGCTGCCTCCACAAGCTCAGCTCCTGGGCCCACCATGGCCCCTCAGCCATCCACAACCAAGACAGGGACGTACCAAGTCTTCAATGGAAGCAGGCTCTGCATCAAAGCAGAGGTGGGGCTGGAGCTGATGGTCCAAGAGTTGGACACGGTGAGTTGGGGTCTGGGCTGCGGATGCTTCCTTCCAAAAGTGGGAGTGGGAAGCAGAAAGGCAGAGGAGTGCCTCATGGGAAGTCAACCTGGATTCCGTCCCCACATCCCAAATGGTCCTCCAACTCCACCACGGGTGATCCCTGAGCACAGGGCCAGAACTCACACCTGAGCACAGTCAGGTGGGGCCCCCCCCAGCAAAAAAAAAACGTTTGAGTGGAGGGCCAGAGAGATAGTACATGGATAGGACACTTGCTTGCCCACAGACAATCTGAGTTCAATGCCAATCATTGCATATGGCCTCGGAAGCCCTACCTGGAGAAACCCCTGAGCACTGAGCCAGGAGTAAGAAAGCCCTGAGCACCACATGCTACGCCCCATCCCTGAAAAAAAATTGAGTGTTGTTTTACTAAAAATGAACAGTTCCCCAATTTCGTGATGTTTAACTGAACATTGGAGACTTTGGTGGCTCACGCTGGGAAGTAGGGCCAGTGTCAGTGTGTTAATAAAATCAATGACTGAGCAACTTTTGCTTCAAGATGCTTGTTGCATGTGGCCAACCTGGATTTGATACCTGGCACCACGTATGGTCGCCTGAGCACCAAAAAAGTGATCCCTGAGGGGCTGGAGCAATATCACAGCAGGTAGGGCTTTTGCCTTGCACACTGCTGACCTGGGTTTGAGTCCCAGCATCCCATATGGTCCCCTGAGCATTGCCAGGAGTAATTCCTGTGTGCAGAGCCAGGAGTAACCCCTGTATATCGCCGGGTATGACCCAAAAGAAGCAAAAAATAAAAAGTGATCCCTGAGCACAGACTCAGAAACAAGCCCTGAGAACAACTGTATGTCCACCAAAATGCAAACAAACAAAAACTATAGATTAAGAAGTAGATTGGAGGAGGGTGGAGTGAAGGTAAGATAATCGGAAATTGTTGCTGTTGTTTTATTGGTTAGTGTTTTGGGTTTGGGTGCCAGAAATGAAAGTCAGTATGTGAGGCATATACACTCAGCCACGGAGCCCCATCTCTGGCCAAGAGATTTTGATTTAGTTAAAGAATCACCACAAAAATAATACATTCCCTTTTGGGACACTAATTACAATTTTAAATAGTGTCCACATTCATCCACATTTTCATCTGGAGCAGAAGTGTCTTAAAAAGACTTTTCCTATGGGACCTTTCAAGTGAACTTAAAATTTAAACTCACCGCATTTCATCTGTGAATCTACAGATATCCTATCTATGTGCCATGAATTAACTATCAAGGCAGTCCTCTTGGGGGGTGGGGAACTTTCAGGAAAATAGTTTAAACATTTGACTGTAATAGTCTACAAATGAAGGACTTGGAAATTCCTACCAGCCTTGCGGTTTCTGGGTCACCTGGAAGCCTGGGTTTCTGGTTTGCTAGCTTGAGTTTTCTTCTATATCTCACTGAGTCCATTTCTTCCATTTAATTTAGGTTTTTTCACCCAAGAGTTACTTCAGCATCGACCCCAACACAACCCAAGTCTCTGGGGACTGTGGCTTCCAGAAGTCCAACCTGCTCGTGAATTTCCCGGGGGGCTTTGTGAATCTCACATTTACCAAGGTGAGGCACAAGCACCTTCACATCGTCTAGTGTTCGTACTGTGTCCCCCAACCCCCTATCCTTGTCACTCTGGTGCAATCCACACTTCAGTTCAAGTTCCAAGAGAAACATATCTCGGAGCCTTTTGAGATCTTTTCTGATAAGAAAGAGGAACGCAAGGAGGGAGAGGAGAGAAGTGTCCACAGCTTGTGTTTGCTTTCTCCCCCTCTTGCCTCCTCCATGCAGTCCGACAAGGGTTTCAAGGCCTCTTGGGAGAGACTCAGTTTGGGGCCATTAGCCACAAACCACCTAGAGAAGGAAATGGCACAGATGAGCAACCCTGCAGAAATTCCCGGTGGGTACCAGACAAACATGGTTATTTATGATTAGAGTGAAATGTCACCCTGGGTTCTTTCCAACCTCAGCAGGCCAAAATGCAGGAACTAACCAAGTGCTGGATTTTCCAGAACATCTCCTGGTCTGGGGCAGGTAATCCTGTGAAAAGAACGGACACATGAAGGCAAAGTGTCTCAATGGTCATTAGACTGTTGTCCCTTGTTCTTGTGACAGTTAATCAGTCCAAACTTTCTTCTTATCAACTGACAAGTGGGGAAAGCATATGTGAAAAGAATGGGGGAGAATTTGAAGAGTGGGGTCCCTACTTGGAGAAAAGGTGTGCAAGGCCAGGGACTAAGATGGCCATGACTTAGAAGAGCAAGCGTTGCCCACCCTAAAGAAAGAGATTTGGGGGCTGGAGCAATAGTACAGTGGCTAAGATGTTTGCCTTGCACACGGCTGGTTAGGTTCAACCCCCAGCATCCCATATGGTCCCTCGAGCACCGCCGGAAGTGATCTTTGAGCCTTAAGCCTGGGCCTGGACAATGTGTCCCTCAAAACACACACACACACACACACACACACACACACACACACACACACACACACACACGGGAGAGATTTTCCCTCTGCTACTTCCCAAAGAGTCTTTCAAATACACAGAGTAAGAGCCAGGGAGGGAGAACTTGAAGGAAACTTCCAGCTGGAACTAACTGTGGACCTCCTGCGTCCCTTGTCAAATGTGGCCCCTAGATCCAGAAGGTTCTTGGTTGACAGATGTTGGAGAAGAATGACAAAGACTCTGGGCATGACAAGTTCATTGTTGATTCTCGGCCTTACTATTCACTGGCTGTAGAAGCTCAAGGCCCGTCTCTTCAGGACTGTTTGCTCTCATCTGTTAAATGGGGTCATTATATTTCCTTGGTAAAACCTTTGGGTGAATTTGAAATGGTATCTGTAAACCATCCTGCACAGTGCTTGCTTCATAACAGTGTTCAGTAAGGGGAGGCTGTTGTTGCTAATGATTTGTTAGTGTCCTTATGAACGCAGAGCTCTGCCCTCCTCATATACACATTTCCCCTTAAGGAAGAGAAGTCAGGAGTCTACTTTTGGTACAAAATTGTGTATATTCCAAGGGTCTGGATCAATTTCTTCAAATAGGGGAAAATGAATGAGTTCCTATTTCCGAAATGGTTACGTGAAGGGTCAGAGAGATTGAAGAGCAGGTGAGGTGCTTGCCTTGCAGGCAGCCAACCCCCTGGTTCAATCCCCAGCACCCTGTACTACTCCCTGAGCACTGACAGGAGTGGTCCCTGAGTGTAGAGCCAAGACTAAGCCCCAAGCACCTCCAGCTGTGGTCCCCAAAATAACAACAAAACAAAAACCAAAATGGTCACATGGGCCACCATGAGGGATTCTGGGAAGAAATAGATGCTCTGGGACATCACTGGATGCTTGTTCCCTGAAAAGGATGATGCCAGGTGACTGTCGATTTGCTCGATTTGTTTGAGCAGGCCCAGTAACGTCTCCATCATGAGACTTGTTACTGTGTTTGGCATATTGAATACATCACGGGTAGCTTGCCAGGCTTTGCCATGCGGGCGAGATATGACTGTACTTGTAAAAATTAAGCAAATCTCTCATTTTGCCCAGGATTGTCTTTCTGGAAAAATTAAACAAAGCAGCACATTACAAACCAGTGCTCTAGCCTCCAGCGAGACTGAAGGGAAGAGAATTGACATGATAGGGCGAGTTGGAGAAGAGCGTTTGTTTTTTATTTATTTATTTATTTATTTATTTTGTAGGAGTACTGCTATTTATTCAGCCACTGATTAGCTGATTGAATTGTGCATGAACTCCACCTTACTTTTTTTTTCATTTTTTAAATAATTTTATTTATTGAATCACCATGAGGCATTTGTTTTTTAAAGTAGTGATTTACTTTGTTCTTGCTTCTAAAGATTCGTTAGAAAACTATGGTTATTTTCTTATTTGTTTTTAATGAAGAAAATTATTTTTTATTGAAACAAATTTAGTTAGAAGATGTGAAGAGAAACAAATTGCAGAATTCATGTTCAAGAGAGACCATGGGCTTGAAATACAAGAAAGGGACTGGGGAGTACAGTGGGTAGGGCCCTTGCCTTGAATGTGGCCCACCTAGATTAGATCCCTGGCACCCCATACGGTCCCCTGAACCACACCAGGAGTAATCTCTGAGCAAAGAGCCAGGAATAAGCCCTGAGCACTGCCTGGTGTGGCCCCCAAACAAACAAATGAACAAACAAAAACAATCAAGCCACAAAAACTTTTTTTTTTAAAGCAAAATAAATGCTCCAAAAGGAAGAGAAGCCAGTTTATATCCTGGTCTATTATATGTGTCGGATAACCACAAATGCAAAATGGGAATCTGAGCACAAATTACTTTTTGTAGCTGCAAATATAGTCATTAGAGAATTAGTGATAATAGCTAACAAACACTGTATCGTTGTATCAATATCATCCTGTTGTTCACCTATTTGCCGGAGTGGGCAAACCAGTAACATTTCCATTCATACCAGCCCTGAGATTTTTAGCAGCCTCTCCTTACTTGTCTTTCCCAATGGTGCCATATTGGAGGCTCTTTCAGGGTCAGGGGAATAAGACCCGTTATTGTTACTGTTTTTGGCATATCAAATATGCCACGAGGAGCTTGCCAGGCTCTGTTGTGAGGGCAGGATACTCTCGATAGCTTGCTGGGCTCTCTGAGAGAGACAGAGAATGTCACTGTCACTGTCCTCCCTTGTTCATCGATTTGCTCGAGCGGGCCCAGTAACGTCTCCATTGTGAGACTTGTTGTTACTGTATTTGGCATATCGAATACATCACGGCTTTGCCGTGCAGGAGAGATACTCTTGGTAGCTTGCCGGACTCTCCGAGAGGGGCGGAGGAATCGAACCCAGGTCGGCCGGATCGGCCACGTATACAAGACAAATGCCCTACCACTGTGCTATTGCTCCAGCCCACGGAGAATGTATATAAGAGAATACAAGCAAGTATGTTAAAACCAAACACATGCGTGCTGCTTTAGGTACATCAGTGAGTTAGACTATAAGAGGTCGTGCACGAGCTTCCGGAAGTTTTGTTTTATAGTCTCTGGATCTTGGTTGTTGATGGGATTACATGGCACTGGGGGCAGTTTGTGGGTGTGACTTTCAAGCTACTGGAAAAGTTTCCAATAGTTCACAATACTCATCTAAATCACATCCATGTGATGTGTATAATAGATGTGGATGAAATGATGAACTGATGATTCCTCGCACAACGCAAGGGTTCCAGAACCCTCCAGAGCCTTTCTGGTGAGGCCACTGCTGCCCAGCCGTCACACAGAAACCCTCAGGGTAGAACCCGGGCTCTGTCCTAGGACAACAGAGCTTAGATTGTACCAGCATCAAGAATAGTTAGAAAGTCCCATTATCCAAGTGACCCAGGAAACAAACACAAATGTTCATGCTTCAGCTCAGGGCCCGGTTCATCATGGCCCTGCGGTGTGAACCCCTGAGTGAAGGAGGGCGCTGGGTACCTCTGGTGTTCGTCAGGGGCCCCTCATGGTAATTTGTCGTGCTCCAGCCATCAGACCTGCCAGCAAGCATTTCTCAGACACCCTTCCCTTCTCTTCTTGTCACTTTTCCCCTGCCTCTTCAAACCCCCTCTCCTTGCCTTTCTGATGCCTGAGGTTATACCCAAGCCAACCTCCCCCTAGTTATGGCCTCGATCTTTCTAGAAGCCTCCCAGATTACACCACCTCAGAGGAGGGGCAGGAAATGAGTCCCAGGCAGAGCTGAAAGGAGCAGCAGGCCCTCTCCAACCCCACCCTCAGGAAGAAGCCAGCTGAGCCCTGGTTCATGGCCCCTGGTTCCGTTCTTGCTTACTCATGGCCTCACGGACCAAGGTCATCTCGGTTGTGGTGTTTTCTGCACCCTTCCCTCGGCAGCTTTAGAAGACTTCAGTTCTGCCACAGGAGAAGAACAAAGGGGTTTCCAGACATTTCCCTCCAGCATCAGTTCTCCTTTCGCATAATTTCCACATCTGGTCAAACTTCACAAAATCACAGAATTGATGCTAACCATGGACCTTAATAAGAGAAGTCAGTCAGTTAAAAAAACAAAGATGATTTTTTTTCCCTACAAAACAGTGATGTTTTATTTTCCCATTCGTGTCCTAATGAGGACATGAATATGAGGAAAAAATCCACATTTTTTATGAAATTGTCATCAGAAACCTGAGGGACCAGAGAGATAGCACAGCAGGTAAAGTGGTTGCCTGACAACACCGGCTTGGTTTGATCCCCCCGCATCTCAGAAGTCCCCTGAGCACCACCAGGAGTCATCCCTGCATCCTTGTGCACAGCCCCGAAATTCCAAAAATGAGCAGGGTGAAATCCAGGCCATCTTCTAGGAATAGGCTGAGATAGAGGCCTGATCGGTGCTGGTGGGAGGGTTCCCCAACCCCCGAGGAACTGGATGCCTATAGGTTTCCCAGCCCAGCATCTAGCCCAGGGATGACACTGACTTTACACCAGAACCACAGCTGTTGCCCTGAATATGTGCCACTTGCTAAATATTTTACCTATCACCCCACTCAGGTGGAAATGAGAGACTCGCACTGTGAGATCTTTGGGTTGTTCAAGAGAAGGCAGACCAAAAAGA